CTGAAGGGGTACTCCAATTGCCTCACCCTGAGACCCTATTCCCTATTGGCAATTTGGGTAACCCCTTCAGAGGATGGTGTGATAAGAATAGGAGGTAGGAATTGGCTAGGCAGTTAGGGTAAAAAGACCCCAAAGAAATGTAGCCAGTTTCTGGGCTAGAAGTCAAAATATCCTTGGGCCTGTTAGCAACACACTCTGTTTCAAAGGCCAAAAATGTCAGAATGTCAAAAGTATTTGGAAACTTGTATCTACCCTTAAAAGATTTTAGAGTTACCTCTTCAGAGGGGGGGAATGTTGGAGGGGAGGGAGTGGGCATGGATTTGTTCAAAACACTTTATATGCATGTATGAAATTCTCAAAAGTTAAATTAAAAAGGTCTGCAAAAATAAATGAATAAATAAATATACAAACACACACATGCACACAAAAAAGTCAAGAGTCATGCCACAGCATCTGAATTGGGAGGAGGAAGGGTTTGAGAATAAAATAAGGATGACCCACTCAAAGACAAAGTCTAGAGGGGGAAATGGGAGGAGATACTGCACATACATTTTATATTTTTGTAGTGTGTAAATTTTATGCAACTAGCATATTATTACTTTGGACAGCAATGAAAATATATCTTATGTATTACAGAAATGTAAAAAGGAAAAAATAAAATTACTTGTTATACAACTGTCTAGAGTTAACTACTGTTTGTTTCTCAGACATAAATATATTTAAACAACAAAACAGCTCTAAAGCTATTCTAAAAATGACAAGGGAGCTCTGATTCCCTGGGCCTGGAGACCCCCCAGCCTCTCTCTGGGGTAAGTTGATTGCACCCTCTGTGCCTTGACTCCCCCAGTCTCATTCACCCTCCCATCTCCCTCGCCCATCTACCCTCCCAGCCTGGATCCTGTCCCATTCCTTGTCTTGGTGCCCCAGACAATGGGGGAACCACCACTGCTTCCTGTTCCTTTGCATCCAGATCAACATAGTTCCCTCTAGCAGTTCCTAGGAGCCCTCTGGGCCTGGTCCTCACCTCCCTCTGCTTCCCCGGGCGGCAAAGCCAGCCAGCCTCTTTCCTGGACCTCGGGGCTGACCTTTTGGCTTCCTGATCCTTTGCATCCAGACCAACACAGCTCCTTAGTGTAGTCCCCAGGAGCCCTTCGGGCCTCTTCCTGTCTGCATCTCCCTTTGCATCTCTGAGTGTCACAGCCACCAGCTGCTGTAGACCAGCATCTTTTCTGGGCCTGGCTCCCAGGCCAGTCCAACCCCCAAATTCCTCAGGCCAGAATCTTTCCTGGAGGGATCCAGACCTTAGAAGAAAGCCTGAGAGCATCTGATCCTCATTTGACTTGGGCCTCTGTGGGAACTCCTGAAGACAAAAGCAATCTGGCCACTCCAATATAAAATCAAAAGAGAGACCTGGAAGCTTAGATGAACCAGCTTTTCATGCACAAAAAGTAAACTACAAAGGCACATAAAGTTCACAAAAAGAAGCAGACCTAAACTTGATGACTTGAGTCTCACACAAGAATCAGAAACTACAAAAGAAATTCACATGTCAAAATCACAGAGAAAAAATAAAGATGAAAAACCAAAATAACTTATCACCACCAAATTCCAATAGTCCTCTAGAGGAGTACAGTGAGAACCCCCTAGAGATAATGCAGGACATGGAACTCAAAAGGACAATTATAAACTGATAGGTAGAGAGCGGGCGGGAACGAGTGGCGCGGATGGAGGGAGGCACCGAGGCACAGATGGAATTCTCAGCGGGATACAGATTTTGCATGGGGCACCTTTCCCTTGGGGAAGGGAAAGATGTCAGCTCATGGGTTGTGAGCTGGGACTTTACATATAGGGGCTTTAGGGTGTGGAAGGGGGGAATGTTTTGGGGAGAAATCAGGAAGGGGGAAGCAGGTAGGATTAGGGTGTGGAAGTGTCTTCTTTTCCTCTTAAGATAAGAGGAACTCTGCTTATCTTTGGAGGTCAGAGGAAAGGCAGGCTGCTTCTCAGCAGAGTTTGTAGGTCCCTGTTGGGGAGGGGG